ATTTAATTTTATAATTTATAATGATAATATAATTTATAAAATTATAAATATTTATTTATGACATACTTATAAATTAAATTTTAATATTTTAAATAAATTATAATTAATTTAATATATTTATTTATTTTAAATCAAACATATAAAATTAAAAAAGTGTATTTATCCTTGTTTTATTTTGGTTAAAATACTAACTTGGTCCCTTATAATATGTTTTTATTTCAATTTAGTCCCATTTTAATTTTTGGTTTCAATTTGGTCCCTAATAATTTAAATTAGTGCAATGTCGGACTTCCGTCCAAATTATTTAAACGGAGCTAACTGTTGGCCACGTGGATACCACGTGGATGTCACGTAGATGCGCCATGTCCGACGTGAATTTACGTCAGACATGGCGTTGTCCGACGTAAAATTGTGGCATGTTTTTGGTCCCTTTTTACGTCGGTCTAGGTGAATCTCCGACGTTAATTTACGTCGTCTTTCAGAGACGACGTAAATTTACGTCTCCCGTATTAACGTCGGAACCTTTTCCGACGTAAAAGGCTCAAAATACCCGACGTAAAAGACCTTTTGTGTACTAGTGTAGTGAATACTTTCAACCAATAACATGATTAAAAAACAAAAAGTAACACACCAAAAACAAAAAAACTAGCTGTCTAAAATCCTGAAATCAATTAATATTCTGATATAAGCAACTGGGGCTGAGGCTGAAAGTGATAATCTGAGAAAACCTATCTTTGCAGTAGCGATAGTGTATTTTGTGTTGCTCGTGAAAACAACGGTTCATAATAATGGAGGAGGAAAGGTACAATGATTACCACTTACCCTCCCACGGTGGTGTATGAAACTGAACGAAGATAGCTACCTAGCATGCATCTCATAACAGAATGAAGCTATTGTTCACACCGTGGCTCATATCGATTTTATGCAAGGGTCACTATAGTTTCACCACCTGAGTTTAAGAACTAGCTCAAAGGCCAGATCAATCATCAAATTTGTCAGGTACGTTTTAATAGTTAATATTGGACTGGACTCTTCCGTACAAGACATCAATACAATGGTCCCTATCTATCCATGTGCTACACATACATAATTTCCAACTGCAGCAATAAAATGCATTGCATCATGCATGTGCCTGCGTCAGTACTCACCAAACAAAGGTACTTTTTGGTCATATATATTCAAATTACACTTTCAAAAAAAAAAGAAAAAAAAAAAATATATATATATATATATATATATATATTT